GGTTTCTCTATGTTGCCCAAGTTGGTCTCCATCTCCTGGCCTCAAGTGATCCTCCTGCCTCAGCCTCCTGAAGCGCTGGGATTATAGGCAAATGCTACTGTGCCTGGCCATTCAGTTTTTTTGAGTGAAACCAGCCCAGATGTGATCTCCTTGGCATATGTTGTCATTGTGGTGACCTGTGTAAAACACTCAGCTCCTTTCTTAAGCACCTTCCTTTTTTGGGTATATAAAATTGCCACTTGAAGGTTGAGTCTCCTCCATAATGTATTCATGAAATGTAGTTGGCTTTCAGCTCCTTCTCTTTTCTAACAAAAATAAACCTGTCAGTACACAGATTAAACAGGAAGCCAACATATAAAAGCCTTCAAGAACTCTTGGCCTGAGGCCCTGGAACATTCCCAGTGACAGCTGCCTGGTAAGGAGGAGACCTGCCTAGGATAGCCCCAGGGCCTCTGGGCTCATCAGCTCTGTACCTGCCAAAGTGGGTCTGCAGGTAGGACGGAGGTGATAGGTGAACCCTGACACCTGTGTAGGCTTTGTGTGTGTGTGTGTGTGTGTGTGTGTGTGTTCTCTGAACTATTGAGGCCCTCTTGGGTTTTTCTGTTGAAAGTGGTCTTGTTCCTGTTTATTTCTTTCTGCACTTGACCTCTAGGGTCAAGCGATCGTCTCACCTCAGCCTCCCAAGTAGCTGGGACTATAGGCACATGCCTCCATGCCTGGCTAATTTTTTTTTTTTTTAAATTTTTTGTAGAGACAGGGTCTTGCTATGTTGCCCAGGCTAGTCCAGAGCTCCTGGCATCAAGCAGTTCTCCTGCCTTAGACTCCAGAGTGCTGGGATTACAGGTGTGAGCCACTGCACCCAGCCCAGTTCCTTCTGCTTATATCCCTTCATACTTCCTGCCTGGAACACCCTCCCCTCTGCATTCCTTGTTTGAATCCTACTAGCTTTCCGAGGCCCACTGGAGGTAGAATGCTGCAGAACCTTCCCAGTAGCCCAGGCATCACCAGCTCCCCTTTTTGATGCCTTGAAGAACATACACTGTCTATTTGGACATTGATTTAATTTTAGCATCTTTTCTTGTGTTCTTAGGTGATGTCAGGTATGTAAGTCTGTGAAAGCTACGAAGGTTGTGGGAGGGAGAGACTGCCTGGTTCTTCATTTGTATCCTCCATGGTATGTCATACGTGCTTACACGATGGCTTTGTTGAGGGTTAAGTTGAACTTGCCCTCTCTTGGGTTGCTATGTGCCAAGGAGTGTTTCTTCTTCCTCCATTTTTTTTTTTTTTTTTTTTTTTGCGGGGGGCCAGAGTCTTGCTCTGTCACACAGGTTGGAGTGCAATGGCGCGATCTTGGCTCACTGCAACCTCTGGCACTGAGGTTCAAGCAGTTCTCCTGCCTCAGCCACTGCTGGCTATTTTTTTTTTTTTTTTTTTGAGACAGAGTTTGCCCAGGCTGGAGTGCATCTGTGAGATCTCTGCTCTCTGCAACCTCTGCCTCCCAGATTCAAGTGATTCTTCTGCCTCAGCCTCCTTTGTAGGTGGGACTACAGGTGCGCGTGCCACCATGCCCGGCTAATTTTTGTATTTTTAGTAGAGACAGGATTTCACCATGTTGGTCAGGCTGTTGTCGAACTCCAGACCTCATGATCCGCCCGTCTTGGCCTCCTAAAGTGCTGGGATTACAAGCATGAGCCACCACGCCTGGCCCAATTTTTGTATTTTTAGTAGAGATGGGGTTTCACTGTGTTGGCCAGACTGGTCTTGAACTCATGACCCTCAGGTGATCCACCCACCTCGGCCTCCCAAAGTGCTGCAATTACAGGCATGAGCCACCACGCCCGGCCCCTTTTCTTTTTTCTTTTTTTCTTTTTGAGACGAAGTCTCACTCTGTCACTCAGGCTGACATGCAGTGGTGTGATCTTGGCTCACTGCAACCTCCACCTCCTGGGTTCAAGCAGTTCTCCTGCCTCAGCCTCCCAAGTAGCTGGGATTACAGGCATGTGCCACCACACCCAGCTAATCTTTTTGTGTTTTTAGTAGAGACGGGGTTTCACCATGTTGGTCAGGCTGGTTTTGAACTCCTGACCTCAAGTTTTCTGCCCACCTTGGCCTCCCAAAGTGCTAGGATTATAGGTGTGAGCCACCACGTTGGGCTGCGGCTCTCAGCTTCTATGAAGGCTGTGTGCGGACTGACCACGTGACCTGGAGCAGTACAGGTGGCACCTGATTTTTGGATGATCTGAGAGATGGCAGAAGTACTGTGAGGCAGGGGAGACATTGATTTTATGCTGCTGTTGCCTGTTCCCCCACCCCCCCCACAGACCATGTTTCATTAGTGAATGTGAGACTCTAGGCCCCTTGGGACCTCGGGTTGATGGGTCGCTGTGCACCTTTCCCATTGTCTGGTGGTTTCTGCTGCACTGAAGGGTCCTTTGCTCTCCTCTCTTGAGCTTTGCAGGAGGGTGGCCCGGGATTTAGGAAACCCAGGCAGCGAGCCCTGCTTTACACATCTAGGCCTTTCCTCTGCAAGCTGATGCCTGTGAGTGTCATCACCCCTCTAGAGACAGTACGGGAGAACAGCTGTTTCCCACCTCTGCACTGGGTGGCCATGGCCAGTCACAGACTTCCAGGATCCACAGAGCCAGCACCTTCTGCTGTTGACTGAGGTTTTCTTGGCAGTGAGTCGGCAGTGACAGACCGGTGGGCTTTCTGGGAAGTGCAGCTGTGGGCCATCTGGTGTCTGTGCAGGGACATTTACGAAGCCTGGGAAGATTGAGGGCTTTATCGTGAAGCAAGCGAGTGAAATCATCTTCCTGGAATTTTGGCCATTCAGGCCTTGGGATGTCCAAGCGTCCTCTCTCCCAAGTCCCTCTTGAGGTCACACGCTGAAGTGGGTTTTCCTGCTGCTGTTTGCAGGACTAGGATTCATAGTAGCTCAGGTCTGTGTGGGGCTCTGGGTGTGCAGTCCCTCCACCCCCGTCTCCCGCAGGCTTTTTAGTCACTGAGGAGCAGAAATGAAGCTCTGTGGGCAGAAATGCCTCTCCTCCAGCCTTGGCCTCAGTGGAGTGTGGAGTCCGCCAGGGGTGCAGCTTTATGTGGTTGAGCTAACGCTGGCCAGAGATGGTGTGTGACCCCACCAAACAGGATGTGGCTGACGGTGAAGGGGCACGGCTCATCATCACTCTTCTTTTTTTTTTTTCTTTGAGATGGAGTCTTGCTCTGTTGCCCAGGCTGGAGTGCAGTGGCACCATCTCATCTCACTGCAACCTCCGCCTCCCAGGTTCAAACAATTCTCCTGCCTCCGTCTTCTGAGTAGCTGGGATAACAGGCACCTGCATCATGCCCGGCTTGTTTATTTATTTATTCATTTATTTGAGACAGTCTCTGTTGCCCAGGCTGGAGTATAGTCGCGCGATCATGACACCCTGAAAGCTCCGCCTCCCGGGTTCATGCCATTCTCCTGCCTCAGCCTCCCGAGTAGTTGGGACTACAGGTGCCCGCCACCACGCCCGGCTAATTTTTTCTATTTTTTAGTAGAGACAGGGTTTCACCGTGTTAGCCAGGATGGTCTCGATCTCCTGACCTCGTGATCCGCCTGCGTCGGCCTTCCAAAGTGTTGGGATTACAGGCGTGAGCCACCGCGCCCGACCTGTCTTTTTATTTTTAGTAGAGATGGGGTTTCACCATGTTGGCTAGGCTGATCTTGAACTACTGACCTCAGGTAATCTGCCCGCCTCAGCCTCCCGAAGTGGTGGGATTACAGGCGTGAGCCACCGTGGCCGGCCACGGCTCATCATTACTCTTGAGAGGGGCTCATTTTCTCCCTTCTCTCCCTGCTCCAGCTTTTCTTTCCAAGTCTGATTTTGATTGATTGAGACAGGGTCTTGCTGTGTCACCCCGGCTGGAATGCAATGGCATGATCAGAGCTGGGAGAACAGCCTTGAACTCTTAGGCTCAGGAGATCCTCCTGCCTCAGCCTCTTGAGTAGCTGGGACTACAGGTGTGTGCTACCATGACCAGTTAACTTTTTTTTGAGACAGGGTCTTGTTCTGTCACCCAGGCTGGGGTGCAGTGATGCGATCTTGGCTCACTGCAACCTCTACCTTCTTGGTTCAAGCGATTCTTCTGCTTTAGCCTCTCGAGTAGCTGGGGCTACAGTCACACACCACCACGCCCAGCTGATTTTTGTATTTTTAGTAGAGATGGGGTTTCACCATATTGGTCAGGCTGGTCTCGAACGCCTGATCTCTGGTTATCTACCTGCCTTGGCCTCCCAAAGTGTTGGGATTACAGGTGTGAGCCACTGTGCCCTGCCTGCCCAGCTAATTTTAAACAATTTTTTGTAGACACTGGGTCCCGCTATATTGCCCAGGCTGGTCCTGAACTCCTGGACTCAAGCAGTCATCCTGCCTTGGCCTCCCAAAGTGCAGGGATTATAGGCCTGAACCATCATGCTCAGCATAAATTGGATTTTTAAAGAGAAAAGTTTCTTTTTCTGGGTACTTCCTTGAGTAGAAATCTTGTTTATCTCATGAGTCATAAAGTGGGGCGTCTGGGCTGTAATCATGAGACTTCTGCCACACTTACCCTTCTGCTCGGTGTCTTTTAGTGGTGGCTGCAGGCACATTTTTTGAGGTAGATTCATTAGAAGGTTGCCATATGGTGGCAAACCATGTGGTAGCTTTTATGAGTTTACTTGTGGATGCTCTGAATTTGGTTCCTGAGTTGTTTGGAATTAAAGTTTGGGGTTTATCTATAGGTACTGACACTTCTCAAGTTGCTCGATTAGTAGGCTTTTTAAGGAATAAGAGGAAAGGCCGAAGGAAAAATCCTTTAGCAGGGCTTGAGTTGGGCTCACTTTTGAAAATGTTCTGGAAAATCTGACATTCATAACACAAACAACACACCCATCTCCCAGCCCCTCTTCACCCACCAGTAACTGAGAGGGGCTTCTGCAGAAGTATTTGAGGTATGACCCAGTTGCTTATTTCTTTAACCAGGTCACCATGGCTGTTACTGGCTCCCCTGCTGTCCCCCACTGTTCCCCAGGTCACCTCCCCACCTTGCTGCCTGTGTCCGGAAGGCGTGCACCGGTTCCAGTGGATCAGAAACCTGGTTCCAGAATTTGGAGTCTCCAGTTCTCACGTCAGGGTGCTTTCTTCCCCAGCAGAGTTTTTTGAGCTCTTGAAGGTAAGTTCTATCTAAAGGAAAAAAGTTTGAGTTAGAGCTTTTGGGGGATTAGGTTTGTGAGTCCTGAGTGCTTTCTAGTCTAGAAACTTGATAGCTGCTCAAGCTTCTTCCTTCCTTCCAGGTTTTACCTGTCAGGTTTCAGCTTCATGGATGATTGAGCTGAGCCACAATCAGAAACTTGCCTGTGGGGCCAGTGTCTCAGGTGGAGAAGCTCTGAGAAGGCAACAGTGAGAACAAGGAACTAGACCTTATTTTTATTTATTTATTTTGTTATTTTTGAGAAGGGGTCTCACTATGTTACCCAGGCGGGTCTTAAACCACTGGGCTGAAATGGCTCTCCTGCCTTGGCCTCCCAAAGTACTGGCCACCGTGTGCGGCCACGGGCCTAGACTTTGATTCTTATGGGTGCACTGATTCCTTTTGTTCCACGGTGAAGTTGTGACCACTTGAAGGGAGGTTAGTGAGGACTGAGGACCCGTGGGCCACACGGGTATGTCCTTGCTAAAGGTGACAGGGCAGGAGGGCATCTTTATCTAGTCTGTGCATGATGGACCCCTAACCCTGGAATCATCTCCAAACACAGTATGAGTGTCATCTTGGTAGATGTAATAGGAAGTAAAAACTCGTGGGTGCGATTTGATATGCATGAAGAGGCCTTTCAAAGTAACGGGGAATTTAGACATCCTGGGTCTAAGCCTTGTAGTCTTGATTCTTTTTTTTTTTTGAGACGGAGTCTCGCTCTGTCGCCCAGGCTGGAGTGCAGTGGCCGGATCTCCGCTCGCTGCAAGCTCCGCCCCCTGGGTTCACGCCATTCTCCTGCCTCAGCCTCCCCAGTAGCTGGGACTACAGGCGCTGGCCACCGCGCCCGGCTAGTGTTTTGTATTTTTAGTAGAGACGGGGTTTCACCGTGTTAGCCAGGATGGTCTTGATCTCCTGTCCTCGTGATCTGCCCGTCTCGGCCTCCCAAAGTGCTGGGATTACAGGCTTGAGCCACCGCGCCCGGCGTACTCTTGATTCTTTAGGGACTCTGTCTTAAGTGTGTGCCTTTCCTCTCCTGGTAGTGATGTAAGTTTTGCATTTGGGGGTTCAGCTTTCAACGTGTTACTCAGGTTTGCATGCCACATCTAGTTATTCTGGTTAAACTGCTAATTGGAATGAAGTAATTCAACACTAATTAATTTTTAACAGCATGAACTAAGAGTTTGTATTAGCAATGATATTAGAATGAAGGTCTAGGCCAGGCATGGTGGCTCACGCCTGTAATCCCAGCACTTTGGGAGGCTGAGGCGGGTGGATCACCTGAGGTCAGGAGTTAGAGATCAGCCTCGTCAACATGGTGAAACCCTGTCTCTACCAAAAATACGGAAGGGTGGTGCACACCTGTGATCCTAGCTAGTCAGGAGGCTGAGGCAGGAGAATTGCTTGAACCTGGGAGGTGGAGGTTGCAATGAGCCAAGATCGCGCCATTGCACTCCAGCCTGGGCAACAGAGCGAGACTCTGTCTCAAAAAAAAAAAAAAAAAAAGAAGAATGAAGGTCTGATGGGGCCAGGCCAAGCAGGCAGAATGCTGGGAGACAATAGGAAATCTAGGTAGAGACTCACCTTTGTGCGGAAAATGAACTCTCAGTCATTTGAGTGCCTGCCGATTTTCTCTCCTTTTGCGCTTTTGTTCTGTTTGTTGATCCACACTTAGCTTGACAGGTTCATTCAGAATGCATTCTGTGTGTGCACACAGGCGTGTTCTTTTGTCCTCCCCTCTCATCCGCCTCCCTGCACTGCTCACCTGTCCTGGGCATCCTTGTTTGTACCAAATGGTGCTGCAACTGTTGGCTCTTTGCTCCTGCTTGATTCTCTCCTCAAGTTGAAGAAACAGGTTTTTCTTTTCTTTTCTTTTTTTTTTTAAGATGGAGTTTGCCCGGACTGGAGTGCAATGGCACGATCTCGGCTCATCACAACCTCCACCTCCTGGGTTCAAGTGATTCTCCTGCCTCAGCCTTCTGAGTAGCTGGGATTACAGGCATGCACCACCATGCCTGGCTAATTTATATTTTTAGTAGAGACAGGGTTTCTCCATGTTGGTCAGGCTGGTCTCGAACTCCCGACCTCAGGTGATCTACCTACCTCGGCCTCCCAAAGTGCTGGGATTGCAGGCGTGAGCCACCGTGCCCAGCCTGAAGAAACAAGTTTTTCAAAGGCAATTCTTCTCTGTCCTAATCAACTCTGGGAGGATGACTGACTGTCTCCATGTAGTGATCCCCTGGCCAGGAGGTCGGGCCCTGCCTGAGGAGGGTGGGCCTGCAGAGAGCAGGAAGGGGCAGAAGGGCTTGCCCCAGCAGGTGGAGAATACACCAGGGCCTCCTTTCCCTGCAGTCTGCGCTGAAGTGTGGGCAGATTCTCCTAGTGTGTGTCACACTGAGTAGCACGTTTCTTCCCAGGGCACACAGCGAGAAGGGAGGACGGTGCTGGTTTCTGCCTGGTCCCCATGCCTTTGCTACATCTGTAGGACCTGGTGTCTTGTAGTAAACAGTCAGATATGCTTTGGTTGTCTGAACTAAATTGTCTTATGCCTTCTTTCTCAATCTTTCTTTTTTCTCTTTCTCTCTTTCTCTCTTTCTGTCTTTGTCTTTCTTTCTGTCTTTCTTTCATTATTTTTTTGAGACAGAGTCTCGCTTTGTCGCCCAGGCTGGAGTGCAGTGGCTCGATCTCATCTCACTGCAAGCTCCACCTCCCGGGTTTATGCCACTCTCCTACCTCAGCCTCCCAAGCACCTGGGACTACAGGCGCCCGCCACCTCGCCCGGCTAATATTTTGTATTTTGTTTTAATAGAGACAGGGTTTCACCGTGTTAGCCAGGATGGTCTCGATCTTCTGACCTTGTGATCTGCCTGCGTTGGCCTCCCAGAGTGCTGGGATTACAGGCGTGAGCCACCATGCCCGGCGTCTTATGCCTTATTTATTTTTCCCTTTCTTTATAATCATTACCCCCACAATCATCTATTTTAATTCATAACAAAACAAAGGAAATAGCAACCTTGGGAAGTTGCTTTGTTTTTTCCTTGTCCGGAAGCCTTTCCTAGTGATTGTTCATGTTTCTGTCTAGTCAAGTTGCCTGTCATCCTGTGTTGACGATGCAGGGTGGGCTGTGATGTTCCTTCTGATAGAGAAGCAGGTAGATGTGAAGCTGCCTCCCTCTCACCTGGGTCTCCTGTGTGTATCTTTTGGTACCCCTGCCATTCTTTGTACCCCTGCCATTCTTTGTACCCCTGCCTCCTTCTCTGGGGTGGGACTGCTAGGGAGAGGCCCCTGGCTGTTAGGACTGATTTGGGGTGTCATGTTGGGGCACTGGTGTGTTCTGCTCGCGTGTCTGTATACCTGTCCATCTACATTTCAAGAGTGGTGCATGGTGAATATGGACATTGGAAACTGTGCAGATGGGTAGAAGGTAAAGAGGGCAGGTTTGTGTCCATACTCCCCTTCCTTTGAGCTCTGCTTTTTGGAGGACAGTTTGCTGTGTACTCTCCATGCTTCTACAGACACACAAACACACACACACATACACACACACGCACATGTGCGCGCGCTTCCATGCTTTGTGCAGGAGTGAGGTGTAAGAGTTGGGAGCACAGGTCATTTGCTTGTGGCTCAGCAATCCATTGTGGACATTCGTGGCAGTGTGCGTAGATTGCCTTCATTCTTTGTTTCGAGACGGAATCTTGCTCTGTTGCCCAGGCTGGAGTGCAGTGGTGTGATCACAGCTCATTGCAACCTCTGCCTCCTGGGTTCAAGTGATTCTTCTGCCTTAGCCTCCTGAGTAGCTGGGATTACAGGCCTGCGCCACCATGGTCTGGCTAATCTTTATGTTTTTAGTAGAGACAGGGTTTCGCCATGTTGGCCACGCTGGTCTCGAACTCCTGGCTTCAAACGATCTGCCTGCCTCGGCCTCCTAGAGTACTGGGATTATAGGCGTGAGCCATTACACCCAGCCTGCCTTCATTCTTCTTAATGGCCGTGTTGCATTTTATAGTTGGCCTAGACTTTGCTTTACTTTGCAGGCTATTTTCTTTTAGGATTGTGGGAACTTATTTGGGAGGTTACCATACACGTTTCGAACTTGCTTTAAATATTAATTGGCAAAGACATAGGATAGTTCAGCTTGGAGTAGGATTTGCCTGCCAGGTCAAAGGGTTCTGTTTTCTTAGTGAACCATGAAAATGATAAATTTGAATTTTGGATTTTTCTCCTCTCTCAGGGGCAGATAAGAGTGGCCAAGAGGCGGGTCGTGATGGCATCTCTCTACCTGGGGACAGGTCCTTTGGAACAGGAACTGGTAAGGTTTATGGGGAGATGGTCCTGGTAGCAGTAGTGAATGGGCCCCAACGTGCCACAGCTTTTTGTGCCATGGAGTTGGTGTGGAGCTGCCTTTCCTTGGCCTCCATGTCAGAGCCAGCTCTTATTTTTGTTGCCCCAGATGTGGGCATGTCGGGAGGGCCTGGTGAGGAGAGCGTGGGGAGGCCTGGTCTGGGCCTTCTTGGCCTCACTGGCAGTGTCCTCCTACTCACACAGGGTCCCAGGCAGCTCTGCCTGCCAGTTCAGGGCTTGGCCGACTGTGGCCTGCAGGCAAAATCTGACCTGCCACCTGTTACGGTGTGACCTGTGAGCTAAGAAAGAATGGTTTTTACATTTTCAAATAATTGGGAAAGAAAAAAAATAGTATTTTATGACTTACGAAAACTTTAAATTTCTGTATTGGTAAATAAAATTTTGTTGGAGCACAGCCACACTCATTCGCCTGTTATCTGTGGTCAGTTTCATGCTGCAGCGGCAGAACTGGGTAGTTGTGACAGCGCCGATCTGGTCTGTAAAGCTCCAAATATTTACTCTCTGGCTGTTGACACAAAAGGCTTTCCGACCCTGTACTGGACAAACGGACCTGAGTGCAAGTTGGGCTGGCTGGCTGGTTCTGCCATGGGCTGGTGTCAAGTGCCAGGGCTGCTGCCAGCCTTGTTCCCCTTGGACTTGCTGTTGTGCCATCCTTGTCACTTACAGTGAGATAGGTGGGTGGGAAGGAGCCAGCAGCCCCCAGGTTTGTATGAGCTGTTGGGGCCAGTGCAGCTTCTGGTGCGTGGCGGGAGCTGAGGCTCAGCTGAAGTGAGTCAGTGAATGAGATCACGTCTTTCTCTTGGTCTCCTGGGATTGCTTTCCGCTCCGTATAGTGAAACGGATGGGCCCATTGCCCAGAGTTAGTGCCATTTCTTGGTCTGTCCTTGTTCAGAGTTACAGGTGGGAGCTATAGGGATTAGAGTGTGGAGAGGGAGGGGCAATGGGTTCATATGAGCCGTCCTCCCCTCTCTGCCTCTCCTAAGAAGGAGGCCTCCCTCTTTTTTTTTTTTTTTTTTTTTAGACAGAGTTTCGCTCTTGTTGCCCAGGCTGGAATGCAGTGGCGCCATCTTGGCTCACCACATCCTCCTCCTCCGGGGTTCAAGTGATTCTCCTGCCTCAGCCTCCCGAGTAGCTGGGATTACAGGCATGCACCACCACCGCGGCTAATTTTGTATTTTTAGTAGAGATGAGATTTCTCCATGTTGGTCTCCATGTTGGTCAGGCTGGTCTTGAACTCCTGACCTCAGGGGATCTGCCCACCTCGGCCTCCCAAAGTGCTGGGATTACAGGCGTGAGGCCCCACGCCCGGCCGCGTCCCTCTCTTTTAAGGATATACCCTCCCCTCCAAGCCCGGGAGCCTGTGTGTTCTCACGGGAGAAGAGTGGAACGTCTGCGCTGCGGAGAGCGGCCAGTGGGCAGGCCGTGTCTTGGATTCATTCATTTGGCAAATATTTACCAAGTGCTCTTTACGAGGAGGGCACTGTTTGTTTTGTCTGTGAGGATTGTCTGTGTTGAAATGTACGTGGGACCTGGTGTCGTAGCGTTTCCAGGGTGGCATGGGCCTCTGCCTGCAGGTCCCCTTCCATTCCTGGAGGCTTGGGCCGATCAGGGCCCCTGGGTGCTGCTTCTGATGATCAAGAAGGGGCTCTCCGACAGAGAGTTTTTGTGGTGTTGGTGTCCGACTGCTGATGGCACAAACCTGTCTTTGGAGAAGATGACGAGAGCACTAGCCGATGGGGCGTTTTGTTTTTCTTTAAATACTCACACCTCTTTGGGTCTTAATCTTCTCTTCTTCTGTGTTCTTTCTTGGTAGGTGGACTGCCTGGAAAGTACTCTAGAAAAGTCACTCCAAGCAAAGTTTCCTTCAGATCTCAAGGTCTCCATTCTCTTGGACTTCACGCGGGGCTCACGAGGTAGGTGGCATGCACGCCTGGCCCCTCATGCTTCCTGTGTCAGATCCTCAGTTCCAAGAGGAGTTACTGTCACCCCCTCGTCCCCAGGCAGAGACAAGGCTATTTGAAGATCATCCAAGCTGGCCCAGGATGCCTGATTGTGTGAGTTAGGATTTTTTTCTGCAGCAAGTGACTGAAAGCCCAACTAAAATCAGCTTAGGCAGGAGTCGAGTCAGTGGCACGCCCTGTGGTCCCACCTGCCTGGGAGGCTGAGGTGGGAGGACTGCTTGAGCTGGGAGTTTGAGTCCAGCCTGGGCAATGTAGCCAGACTTTGTCTCTTGAAAAACTGCCTTAGGCAAAAAGACTTTTTTGGACTCCTGTGACTGATCTGCTTTGGGTGGCTTGTGATTTGGGGTTTGGCTGTGTCGCCAGGATCCATGCCGTAGCTGTTTTCTTTGGCCTGGCTTCCTTCTCAGGCTCTGTGTGGTGACCCCTGGTGGCTTAGGCTTGTCTCCCTATGATACCTTGTCCTTTGAAAGAGTCTGGTTTCCTGAGAATTCGGTCAAAGTTCCTGAGTGGCCTGACGGTGGCATGCCCAGCCGGGAGCTTGGACTGTGCCGAATAGTCCAGCCCAGGCCTGTGTGCTCCCCCGTGGAGCTGGGGGTGTGGGGCAAGGTGAGTAGGGTCGTCTCCCAGAGCAGAAATGCTGAGAGTGGGTGGGGTAGTGCCCCAGGAGGAGGTTGGGTGCAGTTACCAGAAGGAGGGTGAATGGGTGCTGGGTGGCAAAAAGAGCAGGCATCTGCCATGCTGAGCACTCCAGGCCTGAGATGTGGCCAGCATACAGGACAGAGGTTGGCCCGGGAGTCCCCTGGCTAGGAGTAGCCCCAGTTGGTGTGAATGATTCAGGTGGACAGCGCAGGTGAAGGCGAGGCCACGTGGAGGTGGCTCCTCACTGGAGGCAGGATGCCTTCCTGTTGTGAGTCAACGGCCGCTTTCTCTGTCCTGTGTTCAGGCCGGAAGAACTCCCGCACGATGCTGCTCCCACTTCTGCAGAGGTTCCCAGAGCAGGTCCGAATCTCCCTCTTTCACACGCCGCACCTCCGCGGCCTGCTCCGGCTCCTCATCCCTGAGCGCTTCAACGAGACCATTGGCCTGCAGCACATTAAGGTGTATCTCTTCGACAACAGCGTCATCTTGAGCGGGTGAGTGCTTCCCACCGCCGGTGCTTTTGCCTTCCTGCTCTGCAGGCTGGAGGGCAGTGGAATAGGAACAGTGGGAAACCCGTTCCCCTCAGCCTTGGAGAACCTGCTTGTAGGTCTGGTTGCTGTGCACCCGCAGCACCTCCCTGGCACTGTCTCTGCCACTGAGGCTGGAAACCCCCAGGGACTGACTGGAAGCCACTGTTGATTGGGCACTTAGCATGTGCTGGCCACTCAGGTGTGTTGTCTGTTCCCACCCCCAGTGACCCTCTGTGGTATTTTCCTCACTGTGTACATGTGGAAACAGATCAGAGAGGATGAGTCACTTTGTCAGGTAGACAGAGCCAGAAAAATAAACAAGAGTCAGACCTGGAAGTCCAGGTCCTTGGGTTGATAAATGTGGGCCCTTTCACAGGCCCTCCCCTCGGCAGTGGGACCAGGATTGGGTTGCTGGTGCTGAGAGAAAGCCCGTGATTGCATCCTTGCTCTGGGACGGTACCAGTGGCAGCTGTCACTTAGTGGGACAGAGAAAACAAACAAACATGGGCACTGATAAATAGCCCTGCATGGGCCGGGCGTAGTGGCTCACGCCTATAATCCCACACTTTGGGAGCCTGAGGCAGAGGGATCACCTGACGTTAGAAGTTCAAGACCAGCCCGGCCAACATGGTGAAGCCCCGTCTCTACTAAAAGTACAAAAATTAGCTGGGTGTGGTGGTGCATGCCTGTAACCCCAGCTACTCAGGAGGCTGAGGCAGGAGGATCACTTCAACCTGGGAGGCGGAGGCTGTAGGGAGCCAAGATCATGCCACTATAGTCCAGCCTGGGCG